ATGCTTTGATATTTGGTGTATATGTATCTTGGGTAGACCTCTCTTAGATTTGTTCATTTCATGATCATATCTTCAATTCTCTAATTTTGGTGAATATTTTTGTCATTTTTGGTAAAAAGTGATATTTTCAACTTGTTAAAAACCACAAGTCCAATTGCTTTGATATTACATATATAGGTACTACATGTGGACCACTCTCAAATCTGTTCATTTCATGATGATAGCTTTAATTTTCTAATTTTGATGAATATTTTTAATCATTTTTGGTAAAAAGTGATATTTTCAACTTCTTGTTAAAAATCACAATTATTTATGGTGAAAAATGATATTTTTGAATTCTTTTTGAAAACAGCAAGTCCCAGTTTCTAATGATATCTTCTGTTCTTTAATTGAAATGTGTATTGCTAACAGCGGGGCTATCTCAGCCGAGAGGCTGCTTGTTCTAGATTTGTGTGCAACAGCATAAAATAAAACAAAATGATGAATATCATGGAAATCAAGTGCTAATTTCACAGTAGCCATCTACATTAAACAAGTTAACATGGACTGTTTTCAACAGAAAAACTATCCATTTTAAAATACAATACAATACAATAAATAATATTTAAAGAGAATTTTTAAAACTTAGTTACAAAATTACTGTAAAATACTTTATTTTCGCTTGTAATTAATTGGCTATTTTCGCTGGAGGAATGATTCAGTGAAAATAAAATCCAGCGAATATACCTTTTTTTCTATATTTTATATTCAACTTGTCAAAAATCAGTGAAAATAATTCCTGTACAAAGCACCCAAAAAGTCTTTTCAGGAGAAATTAATTTCAGTATATGTTTGCCTTGTATTTCAAATTTCCACTCAGGCTTTGAACACATGGTTGTTAAAACACAATTCAATGTTTTATTGATTCTATTGTTGCTTTCAGTTTGCCAACCTGAAATGAATATACAGCCAGTATCACAGTCACCAATCCATGGAGAGGCAAATATAGCTCGTTATCTCTCTCGACTCCTGGATTCAAATTACGAGGCAAACCCTGAAGTAGCCACACAGATTGACACTTGGTTAGACATCGCAACCAATTCAGTTCTCAATGGTGCCTCAAAGGAAAAGGCTTCAGTATTGAGGTCTTTAAATTCACATTTGGGAAAGAATCCTTGGTTGGTTGGATCTTCACTCTCATTGGCTGATATTATCATGTGGTCATCTCTAAATCAATCAGGTCAGGCCAATGGAGCGCCTGGAAATGTGAAGAAATGGCTAAAAGTGTGCGAGGATATCAGTGCTTTTCAATTTGCAAAAACAGTTAATTAATTAAAAATGGTTGACAGTCCATTGTATACACAAGTTGTTGATCATTCATTGATACAACCACATTTTCCCCTCACTCCACCTAATTTCAGACCTTCAGGGACCTCCAATCACCTAAAATAATATACTTGATTTTTTAGTTTAAGCCTCTGCATATTTCACTTTTCAAGTCTCAAGTCATCTAATTGCAGCACCATTTGATTGGCTATTATTACAAGTACTCTGCATGTAGCAATATTTCAAATGCATTTTACATAAGTATCCACTTATGTTCACAGCACTCTACTTACATAAGATACAATGCATCCCTAATGAATGGTCAAGCATCTTACATCGTCCTTAGTTCAATTAACTGCAATATTCATACACTAACATACCATAGTATTTGTACTGAATACCCACATTGAATATGTATGGTGATAATTTACACCAAAATCCCACAAAACCACAGTCGGAGTTGCCACTCGGAATAGTCACAACTGTTTCTGTTTCTGTTGGTGCTTTCTTTAATAAATAAACCAGTGTGAACAATCTTGTCAGAATTTTCAGGGCCTATTTATTTCAGGTGTGATCTGTGAATAGTATTTTCTGTGCCCAAATATTTTGATATCTTGTTAAAGCAGTATTGCTTTTTAGTCCCCGTTCAGGCGCAGCCTGAAAAGGGGACTTTATAATTCAGGTTTTGTCCGTTTTCCGTCTCCAACATTTTCTCAGAAATTCTACAGCAGGTATCAGTGAAACTTGGCAGGTTGATGAACAAGTGTCTTCAGAGTATGCACGTAATTTTTTTTCCAGATCTGAAAATCCCAAGTGGGTCTTTTTCACGATTTTTATCAAAAATTACCTCTCCCAGCAACATTGACAGAACGTCTGCGCATGCTCAGAATAAATTAATTACTGTAAAATACATTTTTTTGCTATTTTCGCTGAAGGAATGTTTAAAATAAAATCCAGCGAATATTCCCTTTTTCCTATATTTTACAGTCAAACTTGTCAAAAATCAATGAAAATAAATAATACAAAAA